AAAACAAACAAACAAAAAAAACAGGCTGGCAGTGGTAGTGCACATCTTTAACCCCCGGTACTCAGGAGGCAGAGGCAGGTGGATCTCTGTGAGTTTACAAGTTCTAGGACAGCTAGGGCTGTTACACAGAGAACCCTGTCTTAAAAAAAAAACAAAAAACAAAAAACAGACGTTTAAGTACATTTCTGGTAATAATCTGAAATTAGAAAACCTTAAATATAAACCATCTTGCGAACCAAAATGGGATGGGGAAAACACTTTTTCTTGAACACAAAGTTCCTAGGGAGTCACACATGGCTCTCATCACTCAAGGTTTGGCAATTCCCAGAATGAAAAAGCTGAAAAGTGAACCTTTTGTTTCTGAGATAGTCTCTGTATTTAACCCATGTCCTGAAACTCACTACTTAGCCCAGGAAAGAGGTGAACTTACGATCCTCCTGGCAGAAGCCTCCCAAATGCTGGGATTGTAGGTAAGCATCATCACACCAGGCTCCAAACCAAATTCTAAACAATGTTCATATACTTTCATGATTAAAAAAAAAATTTAATTAATTAAAATTTTAAATAAAAACTAAAATTTATTTATGATTCAAAATATACTACAGGAAAGATTATGTGTGACTTTCCTAAGATCTGATAGCTTTTGAGGTCATAAGGATTGTTTATGTACTAAAATACTTTAAAATATGCATAGATTCCAGCAAACAAAAGTGGTCTAGGTTTCTCTGGTGATGACACTGTTCACACTTTACCTCTGCCACTCTCTCTGATGGGGTGAAAGGTCAAATACTGCCTGCAAAAAGAAAAGAACCGTCACTGGCAAATAAATCCCATGGCGGTCATGTATCACAAGTTTAAATGTTTTTCTATGAACAAGAAACATAAAATTATGGTACTAATAAGAAATATTCATGATTTAATCTGTGATGTTGTGTTCAAAGATAGCATAGAGAAACTTTACTAATGATAACTATTTTCCTGTGTACAGTCACTGACAATTATAGGAAAATGGCTATTTTAGGACTTAACACACTCAAACTCATGCTAACGAACTAAAACGAAAAGGATAACACTGAGGATGGGGGTAGGGAGACAGGTGACAGACAGGACACAGTGTAAGTGGGAACTCAAGCATCTGCAGCTCTTCCTCCTGGTAAGAAATTGTCACAAAACCAAGCCACACACCTGTGCCAAAAAAGGAACCTCAAAACCTCCCCCCATAAAATGAGAAACAAAACAACAGAATTAAGAATAGTAGGAAACAAAAGGTCACAGGGCAAGGCAGAACTCTGGGCTGGCAAAGCGCTTGCCTTGCAAGCATGAAGAACTGAATCTGATCCCACGCAAAACAGCCAAACATGTAACGTGTGTGCAGCATACACACACAGGTGGGTCCCTGAGAGCAGCTGGCTGGCTAGCCAGCCTAGCCTAAAGTTTAAGTTCCAGGACAGTGAAAAAGATCCTTATGCCAAAAAACATGGTGGACAACACCTTTCCCAATGACACCAGAGGCTAACCTCAAGTCTCAATATGCATACACGTGTGTAAATGAGTACACACCTACAAGCTACGGAAAAGCTCGATAACTGAATGTTCTAAAAACAGTATAAAATGCAAACATCTCAGTGTCTACTGGTAACCATTTGGATCCCAGTCTGGAGATCACACTCTAATACGTTATAATAGTATCTAAATTTATAAAGCAAATTACATTTACTTACTCCATGTAAATTACTATGAACTTTGTTAGTGGAAAAATAGATCAGAAGAGGGGATCAGAGCAACAATAAATTACTTTTCTATTAACATTTCTACTTTAGGAGTGCTTTATGGTCTCAATATGATCTATTTGCCTCAGGTTTCTAAGTAAAACCCAGACCCCAGCTGATGGTACAACTGAAGAAGTCACTGGGCTGGTTTTGACATCAGGTGTCTTCTCTTAGCCTTTTCCTGTCTGTCACCTGTCAACCACGGGACAAAAGCTCCTCTGTCACACATTCCAGCATCCATAATGTTTGGCCCAACTATAAGAGGTCAAGGAACCATAGCCTGAACCCTCTGAATCTGTAACAATCAATGAACAGCTCCTCCCTCAAGTTGTCTCTGACAGGGATATTGTCAGTGACTTAAAAGTAATGAAAACAAGTGCATATCAAAGACAAACATGTATTTTCTTGCTGTAAACTTATGTTAATTCAGCAATCAGAACTAGTCCAGGGGTTTTTCTTGTTTCAACCCAGCCAATGAATTCTACTCTTCCTCCCTCTGTAGTCATTATTCTTCAAGTTTGCTTAGTCACAAGAAAATGAATTTTAAAGTGAGCCGTATGTAAACTACATACCATGAGGCCAGTGGGCCACACGCTTTTTCTGAAGCTGTTTTAGAGCTAGTCCTGGTCAATCGTACATGCTAGTCCTGTAATGCGCTATGTGGTGAGTCAGCTATGTTATGGACAGCTTGTACTTTAGAACTAATTAAGAGAAATCAGCACTGGGAAGGGTAAATGCCAATGATAAGAAAGCTACAGGGTAAATGTTTTTAAAGATTTAGGCACAGGTCAAAGTCCTGAGACAACTACGAAGTACAAACTTCCATTCTTATGGCAAATACAAAAGAGAAAGGTGACCCGATAGAAAGCAGTGACTTGAACTGTAACGGACATTAGAAAGGCCTATCGGAAATGCCAGCTGTGTTCCAATCTCAAGTTTTTGATATTAGGTATAACTTTTCTCCATCACATAAATCAAACTTACTGGTTCATAAGATAGACCATCTGCAGATGCAACCATGGTCTCTGCTAAATCCAGAACATCTGCTCCAACATCTGCATTAAAACAAAGTTTTTACACTATGAACTTCAATCAAAACTACCATCTGCTATATAAAAACAAAAAACCTGAGGTAACTTTCATTTGTTCAAAAGTTAAAACAGTAGCATTACGTAGCTTTTGTGGATAGTATTCTGAAATTTGAAAATGATTTTATTTTTCTCCTTCTTGCTCTGAGAAAGATGACACATAGTAAAGAAGCTAAGGTTAACTGACTGACTAGCTTGCCAAAATTAAATAGCTCTAAGTACTAAAAATGCTGAACATAATATTAATCACAAGAAATATTTTAAGGATTCAAAGAAATTATAAGGTGTTATCTACTGAGATTTTAAAAAGTAAAGAATAGGAAATTTTACTCTGAAAAGCTAAAATTTTAATGGTATTTAAATATTCAAATATGGCATAGATTCAGGATCAGTGCTAACTCAAAAATTTAGTTATAATGTATTTCCATATATCTCACAACCACTAACATAAAGAAAACTGAGACTGAAAAATGAGACTCTGTTGTTTTGTGATGAAATCCCCTAGAACCGATCCCTTTAACAAGGTAAAACTTCTTCATTACTGAAGCGTTGCCTGAAGTAATGTCTTACTGGTTTCCACTTTCCAAGCAGTGACTTAGAGGATGACTTCCATACAGAGCATCATCGCTGATTCAAGCATAATCCACCAGATATCGATCAGTACATTTCCACTTTTATCAGTACAGTAAGCACGGTCAGGGTTGGGGCAGAAGAGGAGACTTATCACTCTTCACCTAACAGAAACACTGCACCTGTAATTTACACTGCAGAGTAAAGGTGTGGTAAAGGTGGATCAGGTGAAACAATGCCTTGTGGAGTGGGGGTACAAAGCCTGGCTCTCTACAAGACAGACAGGCTATCCAAATCACAACTCGGACTGCAGAAACCTTGATATGGTTTTCTTTACACTATAGTCATGTTCAGGAAAGGCAGTGAGCTGACAGCCGGGCGGTGCTGAGGGTGTACTCACACTGGCACTTCATGGCGACGGTGATGTCAATGTTAATTCTCAACTTGCTAAAAGAGAAGAGGACAGTCATCAGTCATCAGTCAATCAGCAAAACACCAGAAATGAAAACCAACCCACCCATGAAAAATGTGGACTTCAGACAGCAGAGTGCAAGTTAGGACTTAATGTGCAGTCTTTACAATGAGAACGAGAACATTTAAAAATTCTCTTTTGTGTGAACCCCCTGAGGTGGGTAGGGGAGCTGAACTCTGACCATCTGCAAAAGCAATGTGAACTCTTAACCACTGAGCCACCCATCCCTCTGGCCTCCTAAAAGTTTCACTTAAGTGACTATTCAAAAACCATTTCTGCTTCTCCATGCTTAACAGTCATCTTTCTTAATAGTAACTTTACAGCCAATAATCCCAAGAAACTAAGGTTGGCCTACTGAAACTTCAGATAAAACAGTCCTTTAAGGACATAAAACCTGAATCAAGAAGCAGGAATTCCAAGTTATTTCTTCCACTTATCATAAAAACTATACATCACACATTACGTTGGGTGTCCCTCAATGTCGTTTCTTTACTACGGAATGGAATTATCAAGTGGATGCTCCTGGTTCAAGTATTAGTGCTCAGAGGAGCATACGTGCCTGGCACACATGCCCAACAGAAAGACAGCCAGCCTTAGAGCCAGGCCTGGGTCAGGACAAAGGAGAGCAGACCACCAGGAAAGCATCGGATGCTATGGGCATCACAGCCCTTCCTCTCTAAGACAGGCTCTCACTGCGTAGCTCAGGCTGGCCTGGAGTTCACAGAGATTCATTTGTTTCTGCCTCCAGACTGCTGGGAGTAATGATGTATACCACCACAGCTGACTGTACATGGCCTTTAAACAAGAAAAAGTTAGTTACCTAGAAAAATCCTTGTCTACTTCATATTCATACTTCATCCAGGTATCTTGATACACTGAGAATTCCATTATTGTTAATAAAGCCATAGTGGTAAATGCTATTAAAGAAACTGAGGAATCAAAAAGAGAAAAACAGAATTAAAACAATAAAAAAGCAAACAGTTACCTTAAGCAGAATTAAAATGAGGAAAAAAAGGAAGTGTCCAACATGAACATTATGTAAATAAGCAGCATAAATGATTCCCTTAAAATGTTACAGATGTTTGGAAACAGTTCAGAAATGACAACCGAGCACAAACATCCACATACTGAGAAAGAACGACTCGTCTTCAGTTTCAACAGTGTCTATCGCCAGACAGACAGGTTTGTATTGCTACACATCAGGCACAGATAGGATAACTAATAAAAATAAGCATGTTGACAACACCAATTTAAAAACACTTCCCTCTTTATTAAGAAATACACATATGCTTATAATGCAACTTAAAACAAACAAAAGAGGTCCTGAGATGCCACAATATCTGTGAGCCAGAAAATCAAAAGCTCTCCAAGCCCCTAAAATATTTTCATGTACTTTGCAATATCCTGAATATATTACTACATAGCATATTAAATAGAATCCCAGTCAAAAGAATTTACTAAATAATACAAGATACACGGCAGGCTGTGCAACAAGAATCGGCACTCTCTTCACTCTCAGGGGTTGGGAGCAGCAAGCCATTTTATTGCACTTTATTCACTAGGGGTTGTTTTGTTTTGCTTTGTTTTGTTTTGCGTCAGAGTCTCAAGTAGTTCAGGCTAGCCTATAACTGGCTACGTAACCAAGAGTGATCTACAAGTTGAGACCCTCCTGCATCCACCTCCCCAGTGTTGGGATTGCAGGCATGTGTCACCCTGCCCAGTTTACGTGATGCTGGATTCAAAGCCTGGGCTCCACACGTGCTAGGCCAGCAGTAACAACTGGGTTGTATGTATTACACATTTTTTTTTTTTT